CGAATTGTAGCTAAACGGATAAAACCACAGTAATATATCGATACTTGCTTGATTCCCCAAACATTCAGCTTTCATATGCATCTCTTGGATTCATTCTATGTATTATAGTTTTCGAGTAAATCAGAAAGGAAATCCTATATATTCGAAAAACACTGCTTTTTCGAGCATTTTTTAAACTTTGAACGCAAATTACAGCCAAACGGCTAAAACCACAGTAATACTATCGATATTCTGCTAGATTCCCCAAACATTCAGCTTTCATATGCATCTCTTGGAATCGTTCTATGTATTATAGTTTTCGAGTAAATCAATGAAATGTAAAAACGGCACAGGAATGTATCTATACTTTAGCAGATATTTGGAAAATTGCTCACTGCTACTAATATTCGCGCCTCCCCTTAGACTAGTCCACGCCTCCCCAGGGAAGCGCGCCTTACAGTTTGGAAAACGCTGTCATAAAACATGTGCTACTCAAAAATTGTAACAATTGAATAGAAAAATAAACAAGCAGTGTTTGTGGTGGATTAGATAAACCATAGCCACCCTCAACATACAAAAGTTGTATTGTAAAATGAGACAAACAGTTGCATGTTGCAAAATATATTTGAGGATTAATAATAATGAGTAATTCAAATTAGTTTCATTATCCCCTAACAAACAGAACCGATGGTGCGAGCAAAATGCTTTAGATGTTGAAACATATGCCGCTGAAAAATTGAAACAGTTGAATTCGAAATATGCAAAAAAAAAACAAACAAGTGCAAAAACCACCGCGGTTACCCTCAATTTCACGCGCGACGAACAAAGATTCATATGTTTCAAGGGGTAACAAAATAATAATGTATATATATAATAAAAAAAGAAACCCGGAGGCCACGGCCGTCCTGTTATTCTTCCGGCCGATTTGTTTATCCCTCTCGCGCGCAAAACCCCTTTTGTGCACGTAATTGCGTCGGGGCGGCGAGAGGGTGGTGGTGAATGTTTGCGGCGCGCGGTTAAATCACGTCGACTTGATTCCTAATTCTCCTCCATATATGATGCGATGATGATGTTTGTTTCGTTGTTGATTTTTTTTTATTCTTCTATATACTTTCCATCAATCCATCCGGTCCCGAACCAAGGGCTTTTCTATCTCTCTCCCGGTGGGGCATTAAGGGATTACGAATTCTGCGGCTCACCGCCGCCGGTATTTTTGTATTTTTTTTCTCTCTCTCTCTCTGTGTGCATTCGCTGTTCATGTTGTGACCTCTCTCCCTTCATTCGCTACTGTTTGTTAATAACCCATCTGTTTGCCCATACATATGGTGCATTATTGCGACGACCTCTCTCCGTCCACCCTTGATACCTAATCCCGTGTATGTATGTACGTGTGCTCGTGAGTGAGTGAGAGAGTAAAAGCGGAATCACGTTTGTAGTAGTAATAATAATAAATACCTCGAGGGTCGCGTCGACCGACCGACCCCTCGCAAGTCAGAAGGGCTTAATCTCACGCCGGTGATTTCGAACCGATGTTGCAGGTTTGGTTCCAAAACCGCAGGGCGAAGTGGCGCAAGGCGGAGAGGCTGAAAGAGGAGCAGAGGAAACGGGACGGGCAAGACGTCAAGCAGAGAGACGGTGAGACCAAGGAGGAAGTGGTAAGTTTCTACGAAGATGTGGTTTAAGAAAGATCATATAATTTGATCGTTCTCTTTACTTTGTTTTTATGCACGCTCAGTCGGAAGAGATCAATCCGATCAGCTCGCCGGAACCGACGAATCAGGACGAGGAGATGGCGAGGGAGTGCTCCAGCCGCAGCAGCGGAGGTCGTGAATCGCCCCCGGAGCAGGTGAGAAGCGCCCCGGAGGCTGTCCCATCGAACCCATCGTCGCCGCACAGTCCGGCTCCATCAGCATCCAGCGAGCCGCCACGACCGCTGCCGCCCCCGTTCCCGCACATGTTCCCATTCGGAGACAGGTAGGAAAACTCAATTTATAACAAAATATCAAATTTATCAATTTTACTGTACTGTACACAGTTTGTGTTATCAAATTTCATATCAATTGATATTTTTACACATAATATTTAGCGAAACAGCATGCAATAGTCAATTTCGGTTTTGTTGTAAAATTCGTCTAAAACAAGTGCCGCGCAAATGACGCGGCAAATTTAAATTGAACGTAATGAAATCATATTAGGAATGCCTTTAATTGTTTCTCTATGTATTCGTTCTTTTTTTTTTGTTGTTCTTCGCGTTTCATCTTTTGTCTGATTCGATGCAATGGCGAACGCGTAATTAGCAGTTTGAGAAAAGAGATGGAGTTCGTCCTAATGATAATAATGAAGCTGGAGGAGTTGGAGGAGGAAGGATTGGCGTAGATGCCGTTGTCGTGACGCTCGTAAATTTCCCGTTAAAACATTTGTGCCCATTAAATATTAATACAATTAAGCGACAATTAAAACCGTGGAGAGAAACGATAGCCGAGTGAGACGCATCTGTGTGTGTGTGTGTGTGTATTTAAAAGGGAATTCGCTTTACATCGCATTAACTAATTACGTCCATTAATTAACTCCTTTTCGCTCTATCTCGCTCGCTCTCCGCGACTTTCGCATTAGATCGTCTCTCCCTCTTTTGATCGTCGTCGTCGTCGTGACGTTCGTAAACCCGGCAAATGGAGATGTGTCCTTCCTTCCACAGATGGATATTACATATGTAGTATACGTATTAATAATAAGCGGATCCGGGGTGGATGGAGCGCGGAACGCGGGGGATGATTCTCGTTCGAAATCCTTTCTGGCCGGAGATGTAATCTATCAAGTAGAACAATAAAGGATGTAAGCTGCATGATGCAAGGATAAAGACTTGCCATGATGATACGATGGAAGCAGAAGCGAAAGACACACACACACACGTATAAGCGCATATTCGCATTTATTTTTATCTATGCATGTATGTATGTAGAAGAGAAAGATTCCATATTCTTTTTAAGGCAGATCTCGAGGGAGAGGAACCTCGCCCTTTTCTTTCTCTTTCTCTCTTCTTGCAATTTAAATATTCATCAGCCAGACATAAGAGATCCTAATATCGTAAAACGAATTTTCCATACGTTCAAACAAATAAAAGATGCACACGTAGGCTGTGCGGAGCGAAACGGCAGATCAAAACACGCGCTGCTCACAAGCAGAAAGAAACAAAAAGAGAAGTTGATGATGGACTGAAAAGTTCTCCAACATTTGATAACTTATTACGCAAAAATCGTTGATGTACATCATTTGATTCTTTAATCCCAATAACTAATCTGACTCTATTAGTTTTCGAGTAATTAAGTGCAAAAATTTGTTTTATTTTTCAAAGTTTAACATTTTGTTACTTCTGCAGAAATAATTATAATAATAATAATAATAATAATCAAGTTTATTGACCAAGAGAATACAAAGAAAACAAAATAAAATAAATTTACAATGAGTACATTTGGCATGGTACATTTGGCATCAAATTATTAAATGAAAATTTATTACTTAAAATTTAGTAGATTTAGTGATTACGTGAAATTTGTTGATACATACTTATATTAAATATTAATTTTACTTTAATTACTTTTATGGTAATTAATTAAGAGGCGAATTTACTGCTAACTTTTGATCATCAAATCGAGGCGTCGCACCATCATCATCATCATCATGACAACCATTAACGTCACATAAAGGTGACACGTGCTCTCGCGTCTCCAAATTGATTCCAATCAAAAGTTATTTACCATCTCGTGTTTTCGTGTGTCCTCCTCCTCGCTCACACGCACGTACACAAGCGGCACGAAAACGACGGAGGAGCAGCAATTAAACAGTATTTACGAGCGCGTTTAGATATTAATGAGCTGCAGCCGTAGTCGTAGTGCGGGTGTAATTAAATGTACGGGCGCGTTGAAAACGAAACGAAAAAGAAACAAAACAAAACGATGAAACAACAAAATCGTGTCATCCGTGGATGGCGGAGGACTAATTGAAATTTATAACCCTCGTAAAACACAAACATTTCGTTTTCATCTCTCTCTCGCAATAATTTTTGAATTTAATAACTGGCGAGTATGAGAGAGATGAGTAGAATTAAATGTATATATGTATTTTATTATTATTATTATTCGGGACTGTTATTTTCGGTGCGGCGTGAATAATGAACGACCCGCGCCCCGGGTTTTCCGGGGCGCAAATTAAAACAACGATTAATTAATATCGTCGGGGGCCATTAAATATTCAATTCAATCAAGTGAGCGCGCTTGATTTTAACGCTGTGTGCACGCATTTGTTTTGTTAACAAACGCGTGCAAACGAATGCGTATTGGTCTATACGTGAGAGAGAGAGACAGACAGATTGAACCCTCGATATCAATTAATCAATTAATGAATGAATGAACGAATTGCTGTGTGTGTTTGTGCACCATGGGGTAATTATTTAATGAATTTACGATTTTAATAAAATTTAAATATGATAATTACTCTTCATATTATCATGAATATATTTGAAATTATCCATTGGCGCAATGAAATAAAAGATATTAAATTTCAACAGTTGATCAATAAAATAACAATAAAAGTTTATAAAATGAACGAAATTATATCATGTTTGTAGAAGGAAAGTTATTATAATCATCGAATCAGCAAATGATAGCAGTCAAAAGATTTCTTGACGGTCTTCTTCTCGGTAAACGCGTCGGTAATTGATTTGAACTAATAAAATGTGCGGCACGGACGGTCGGACGCAGAGACACCTTGACTCGTGATTTGTTTCTACGGCCTCTAGATTATGCCGTCGCCGCCGCCGATGACAAGTGCGAGGAGATGATTATGATGATGATGCTGCTGCACACGAATTTGATCGAATTAAGACAATGCGCGCCTGGAATATTTTAATTCGCGTCTATTTCGAGAACGGAGCCGACGATGCGCGATGATCATTATTACATCATCATCATGATGATGATGATGATGATGGTGACAACGATACATATCGCCCCTCTGTCGCGAAATTGCGTTACGAAATTACGATCAATTTATTTAAGCCTTAACGCAATAAACAAAACCGATTCCCGGGCGCAAACAACGCGCGCTCGTCCGGCATATAAAACAATTCACATTTTGTTTTCATTTTGATTTGCTTTTATTTCGTAACCAAAGCGACGACTTTAAATTGTTTCGTTGCCTACTTAATTAGATCAGTCGTTTATTTTACACGTTGCCAATTGTATTTGGATCGTTCGTTCTCAGTTCAGTGCAAATGTTTTGCTTTCGATTTGTTGAAAATTCGATTGTAAAACAAAATGGTCGAAAATTGCGACGTTGTCATTGTTTTCTTTAATGTTTGCATAGTGATTTTGGGGAGGGTGACGTGATAATGGGTGGATTAGAGTAGATCTGCGGTCGGGAAACGAGTGGAAGGGTGCGCGCCACCCGGAGACTGCAATGCTCGCACAGGACACATTCCTCGTTTACCTTTTATTGATTTCCATGGAAACGCAACATCTTTTACCGAAATTGCAGAAATCTTACTTTTATTAATTCTAACTTGAATATCTTGTACGAAAACTTTCATGATTTTTCGATTTGAAACAATGAATTTAATTTTCAAATATACTTGTTATGGTCAATTTTAGCATCATCTGTTGTAAATAATGTAAAACCAATGAGATTTGCCGAAATCGCAAACAAATTTGTATAGGGAAATGAACGAGCGGCAAATTTAATAATTAATCTCTCGTTGTTTTGGTATGCGTGTTGGGCTAAATTGGTTCTAATTGTGCGTGCTTTGAAAAAAAAAAGGAACGCTGATGGTAATGAATTGTAATGATGTTAATAATTAGATGATGATGATGTTGATGTGCGATGGAGAGAGGAGCAGAAGCAGTTTTGCACGAGACGCTCTCGTTCCATCGAAACGCATCAATTAGTCGCGTTAGCATGGTCGAAAAATAAATTACAATTGCCCCCGGGGGGTCAACTGGATGACATAATAAACGCGACGCCAATCCGAGCTCAAAACAAAACAAAGCACCGAATCCACATGAATGTACATCATCTGCATGTGATACATATCGGAGTGGATCGGATGAGCTTGAAAGGCGAATTGCAGATGGCGCTCTTGCAAAACAAAAAAACAACAATATATATGTATATAAAATGTATGCAATGTGTATGTCTGTATGCATATGTAAGCAAATAAATGAACCGTGATGTAATCCCTTTTGATTTGAACGCTCTGCCGTTCGCGAGAGTTTGAGCGAGTGCTACTAGCTACAGTGTGTGTATGTGAGTGCGTGCGTGTGTATTTGGTTTCGCGGCGGCAGAGAACCCGTAAATAATTAAGCAACATATAGAGCTATCCAATTAGTATGTTAGTGTAGGAAATTAAGTAGTCAGAAGCGTTTACCTAATGGCATTAGCCCGGGCGTACAAAGATCACTTTAATTCTGCCTGCACAAACTGAATCTAAATACACTAACTAACGCAGTAATGCCAACACAAACTCCAAATACATCTGTATGTGTGTGTGTGTGTTCGTTCGTTCGTATACATTCGCCCACTCGCATATCAACATCGTCATTCGCGAAATGTAGTTTTGCCGAATTATAGATTATTCACGAGGCTTTCCGCCCTCCGCATCAAAAATCCTTTTGTGCTGTTCTCGACCCACCCAACTCCTCCTTCCTCTTTCCCACTCTCACCGCCCACTTTCATCCCTTTTTCGGCCATAAACTGAAATTTAGAGAGTCCCATTCATAATCGATGATAAAAATAAAAATACGAACAGTCGAAGGAAACGCACACACAATCAGATTTGCCGCGTATCCATTAGCCTAATCCGCGCTTTTGTATTCCTTCGCATTTTTGCATCGAGCTCCATCTATCCAAGCCGTTGATACTTTCATAAACAAAATTAGTAATTTTTAAAACATAATGTTGTCGTCTTGCAAATCTAAGCTCCACCTTTTTATCAAATTTCCTAATTAGCAACGTTGCCAAGTCTCGACCGATTTTACTTGTTTGTTGTTGCTTTTTTTTAATTTCAACATTATTACATAACTTGGTGGAATGTTTGGTTTAGAAATGATCGGAGGGCGGATTTCTCTCGCTGCGCTCGCGGCGGGAGTAAATATGAAATGCTAATGTTTGCCCGAATTAAATTTGAAAATTGAACTGTCCAATTGGGAGGGCGCACATGAAAGCGAAATAACGCCGCCACCAGTTCAAAAAAAAAAAAGAAAGCACACAGAGAGAGAGAGGGAAAAAACGAACGCGAGTTACGAAAATAAAATCCACGTTGATGATGATAATAATAATAAACGTAATGTTAACATTTTTACGAAACGCGGTGTTTTTCTGTTTGTTTCGTGTTGATACATTTTTTTTTTGCGGGGCCGCAACACTGCGAAAACCTCCGCGTAAAAATGCAAATGCGTTTATCGGGGCTTTTATCTTTTTTAATCCGGCTCTAATGAAAATTTTCGCTCTGAATGAATGTGGCAACCTAACAAACACAGAGGAATAATAACAAAAAAAACACATAGATAATTCTTTTGCATACTATGCAATTTTTAAAAATATGGGAGAAAGGGATAGAATTACGTTTCAATTGGGTCGCTCCATCGTATAATTATTCTGTTTAAAGCTGAGGAATACATTTAATTGGTTAATCGTTGCGCGTCGGCGACATTGAAGCAATATTATTGATCTCACGCGACAATTCGTTAATTTCGATTTGGTTTGGATCTTTCTCTCAATCTCTTTTTATTTGTTCTATCTTCATGTGTATGAGTGTTCCTGTTCGTTTGTTTCGGCGGAATCGCTTTGATGTCTGATGCACCGTCTCTTTTCGGCGCGCTTCCGCGGAAGAAAAATTGCATAATCTATTGGTGGAGCGGTGGCGGCGCAACGGAAATTGGGTTGCAGGCATCAAAAGAAATTACGTTCCTCCCTTTTGCCACCGAAGCCGCCGCTATCTATAGCGGAAAAATTGAATCATAAAAATTTCGCCGTTAAACCCAAAAAAGGAGCAGGATGTGAGGAGAGCAGAATCAACCCACATCCCTCAAAAAATAAAATAAAAGTAAATAAAATAATAGTGCATAAATATAAAGTTTCCGGGTATTACGAAGTACGCTCCATACATAATAGCTATCGCAAAAAGTAAAAACCAAATGAAATAGAAGTTTCCCATCTGCGAAAATTGCATTTTCCTCAGCATCAGCGTTTGCTTAACGAAAGTTCGTTTTGCTACTTATGCGATGAATCGAAATTGACGCAATTTCGATACACGGAATTAATTCCAAACTAGATGCAATTGAATTAGTATCTCTCGTCCTTTGACCAACGCCCGCCACCCCTCGAATCCCTTCGTTAATTCAACATCATCCCCTCCCCCCTCCCAACCATCTCCATTTCTCGAAAGGGCGCAACCATTCCCCGCCGGCTAAGCTGATTTAAATAAAATTTTGTTTTCTCTGAGTGTGCTCCAATTAAACGTCGCCAAGATTCTATATCACATCATACCCCATCTCTCGTAAGTGTTTCATCTCTCATTTAAATGTAAATTTGCTTTTCGGCTTTTCTCCAAACAAATTAAAAGCAAATTCAAACTTTTACTGTACGTAAATTAAAAACTTGCAAAACAGAAAAGTAAGATGATGTTATGTTGTATGCAATATCCGATTAGATGATGTAACATGCATAGATGGCGGTTCGATCGTAAACACTGAAACGTCAATTTGTAAAGTCAATTTGACAGATTGAAATATGCTAAGCAGGGCGAATCCAATCTTTCTGATCCGCTCGTGCATGTTTGCAGTAAGTATTCAATACCGACTCGGTGTTAGGGGGGGAGGGTGTCTTACTTTATTACTATCGTGGAAGAAGCGAGTTTTCTTTTAAGAAAATGGGTTTCGCGGCGGTTTTGGTTGAGTTTTTGGGGGGTCGGTTAGGAAAAGGCACGGTAAGGTAGGCGCGCAAAGTATAATCCGGTTAAGTTCCGCTCGCAGATGATTTTGCAATGTTTATGATTGTATTAAAGGAGGTAGTATAATGGCACGCGCATTAAGGTAATTTAGTTGGTCGGCGGCGGAAGCGGCGGTGGTGGATGGTAAGAAAATGCGAATTATTATTTCACGCGTCGAAAGAGGGCGGCCCTCTTCGGTTGGGGAAAAAAGCAATGTACGTCAAGAATCAAGAGTGCCGTGGCTCGAAAATTGAAAGCGAAAGTCAGTCTTCCGCAAATTAATTCCGGTCGCGAACACCTGCGCCCCCTGTCGGAGTCGGGTGTGGATTACGTGCGAGCAGGTGGCGGTGGCAGTGGAGGCGGCGTCGGATACGTAATTACATTAATGTAGTTGCTCATAAATAAATAGCGATCGGATTAGACTGAATGTGCAATTAATTAATCAGATAATTAGCGCAGACGGAGTGGCGGCGGCGGCTGGGATCAAAGAGGAGAGAGTTGCCTGCCGCATCCACCGCCACCCACTAATAAAACCAAACATCCAAACATACTTGACAATCTACGATCGTTAATGTTTCTAAGCAAACTATATCATAAAAAAATTGAACTTTACCAATATTTTTTTCATCTATCTAAATTTTGGAATTATTCATGAAAGAGCAGTCGTTATGTGAAAATGGGTCATGGTTTGATGATTTTTGCATACGCTGCAAACGATAATCGTTGACCTTTCATCATCACCATCATCATTGTATTATGTTGGTGTTGTGTTGTTTGGTAATTCAATCGACAAAGCATTCGTCCGCACGCCCTTCATCCCTTCATCCATACGTATTTATTTATTGGTGGAGAGTGGAACGTACGTACGTCGCGCGGCACCCGCCGCATCCACCCTTAATTGTCGTCCGTCCGTATCTCAATTGCTCCGTCGCTCCGCTTCAGTCGGCGGCGCATCGTCCTCACACGCTCCGCACAAAACGCGGACACGTGGCCTTTCCTCCATAAGCACCACTCGGAAGCGATTCCACATCAAAAGTCATCTTCAGTCCCCCTCCTTCCGCACATTTACATGTGACATTAAAATTAATGAATTTATTGCCATCATATGCAACCCACATAACGCCCATAACATCATCTAAGCCAATTTGCAATTAGCCCTTTGCATAAATTTCAATTAACGAATGCACGAGATATTCTAGTCATTAAGGGCACACACTTTGTTGCATTCAAATGTACTAGTATTCCCTGCAGATGAATGAATTTAAATCTCCAACTTTATGAAATATAGAAATAAATGTTAATTTAATTAAATAATTACACTAATTATTAATTCAATATTTAAAATATTATTAAATTATTCAATAAGTCTTATTTATGATTTTAAATAATTATAACTTATAGTTAGCAAATCTGTATTAACAATATATAATTATTTATTTACAATAGAATACGCACTTTGACTATTAATAAATTACGGTAAATCGTTACAAAACTAATGATTTTTGAAACATAAATTATTGTGATAATCTTATATAAATAAATGGCTAACGCCGATGTAGAATTAACAAGTGGGTGCAAAGAGAAAATAGGAAAAAGACGAAATTCAATGATTCAATGAGGAGGGGTTGCTTTTTTTCGTGTGCCCCCACTGTCTGCGTGTTTGTTTGAAGACGTATTATGTTGCGATAATGGGAGGGTGAGATTGAACAACTACCGCCAAACAAAACAAAAAAAAAGAGATGAAGTAAAAGAAGAAGGGTCGGGGTGCGAAATCGTCGAGAGCATCAGCAGCATCGGGGGGGGTGCTAGCTGGGTCGCACCCCTTATTGCCCCTAATGCGCTTACAACCATCGGCCGGAGCGAAGCGAAAGGTCACCGTAACGCACCTCCGGTCTGGCGCGACTTCCGCTTCCGGTGAGAGAACAAAATCACCCTAACCCAGCACTCCTCCTCCACTATTTACACAACTATTAAGAGAATTTCTCAACTCATTTGATTTGATCTGGGGGAGTGGGTTCGTCATCTTTTGTTTATCCTTCTTTTTGTTGACTGTTGCTGCTGCTGCTGCTTTGATATAATCGAGATGGCTTAAACATTAAAGGATACTGTTTGATTGCATACGTGCTTTGGTTCAAATCAAATGCGCTCGACGTCAAGAAGGATGTCACCTTTAGCGGTGAGCACGAAGTTGAGGTCGATCTCGATTTCGGGGCTGGTCTTAGCGTTCAGACGATAACGGAAGTCTTTCAGGAGCGTGATCAGTCCGATCTTGGTCTGCATGATGCCGAAGCGAAGGCCGATGCAGATGCGGGGTCCCTCTCCGAAGGGTATGTACGTGAAGGAACGAATGTTGGGTTCGTTTGCCTTGGAGAAGCGGTCCGGATCGAAGACATCCGGGTCGGGAAAGTACTCGGGGTCCCTGTGCAAGCCCAACGTCGAGATGGAAACGGCCGTTCCGGCCTTTATGGTCACCCCAGTATCCGGGATCTCGTAGTCCCGAGTGCACTTCCGGTCAATTGTCGGCACCGGCGGATACTTTCGCAGAGTCTCTGGAACAAGAGCACACATACATATGGAGAGGAGGAAAGTTTAGTTGCCGTTCAGTCACGCACAAAGGAAACCATTAGATTCGCAACGCCAACTCAAATCGATGCTCGACCGTAGATCACTCGATTTCTTTTCAAATCGCATTCATCACGCCATTCATCCCATCTCAATATACATTCAATACTATCATTACATATATATACATACACTCATCATTCCCAAATCCAATAATACGAAACGCTCACACGAATTATCTCTGTTATTACCAATTTTGATTTTCAAAATGCAAAAAATATTTTTCTTACCGTCGATTACTTGCTTCAAGTAAGTCATTTCGTTGATGGCGTCGTAAGTGATCTTGCCGTCGTGCTTCTTGATGACCGAGTGAATCTCTTCCCTGACTCTGTCCTGGATGTCCTGGTGCTTGGCCAACTCCAACATGCAAAAGGTCATCGTCGTCGAAGATGTTTCGAAGCCGGCAATGAAGAAGACGAATGCCTGTCCGGTCAATTCCTCAAAAGTAATCTGCCCTTCGTCGGCTCCCACCACACCCTTCTCGCTCAGGATATTGATGAGCAGATTCATGAAGTCGTTGCGTTCGATATGGTTGGTCTTTCGGTAGTCCACCGTTTGACGGCAAACGTTTACGAAAAACTCGCCGAGATCTTTGTCGAAAGGCAGCAGACCCAGTTTTAACGACAAGTCTTTGAAAATGAACTGGAAGAAACCTTTGGCGAAGCGCCACGGCGTTACGGAGAACATCTTCTTGCCGTACTTGCGGAACTCGGCGTTCGGTGAGTCGAAGCTATTGCATTCGATGCCAAAGGCAACGTTACCGATGATGTCGGTGGTGAAGCGAGCCGCGCAGTCTTTAACGTCCAGCTCGAGGTGACCGTCCGCACATTCGGAAATCTTCTTGTGAAAGGGTTCGCAGCAATCGACGAGGGTGCTGAACATGATCTTCATCTTACCGGAGGTGAAGGTGGGTGTGATCTTCTGCCTGAGCAAACGCCAGCGTTCTCCTCCGATGAAGAAGAGCATCTCCGAGATCGGTTGCTTCGGATTTATGTAGAAATCTTTGTCGGTGAAGTGCGCAAAGTCCTTGGCGAGGATGGGTTTGATGATGCCCGGATGAATTGGGAGGAAGACGGGCTTCATGATAACGTAGTAGCCACCGTATTTGTGCCCTTGCGTCTTCATCTGTTCGTAGAGGATTCTCACCTGCTGCCCTAAAGAGGTGCTCATGTGCCTCAAGTTGTCCATGTTACCGAAAGGCACGGTCGGCTCCACGTACGGCACTCCGAGCCTCCTCCAATAGCTCAACTTCCATTTGAAGTAGAGATACGCCGTAAACAAGGCTGTAACTGCTAGCGTTAAGAACCACATCGCGCGATCGAGTGAGCATAGGATCGCGACAGGTAGTTGTTTTATATTAGAGGTCGTTCGGCCAACTCCCTCTATCCATGTTTATATCTCTGTCGCTGTGCGTGTGTGTGTATCTAGTAGCTTAGCTTAGACGATGACTCGCCGACGAACCGTTGTTCATCATCAACGTCAACAACATAATAATAATAATCATCATCAAGAAATTATCCTCTTCTCTCTACAATTCCTTTTTCGTTCTTTTTTTGCAGCTCCGGTTTCCGGCCCGTGTTGGACGGTTCGGGCACGACGAGGTCAACTCCGCCCCTGTTCTTCCCGCCTCATCTGGCCTCACACCTCTCATCGCAGTTCTCGCCGCCGCTCTTCCCGGCCCTCAAAGGTAAGCACAGAAAAGAAGAAGAAGCAGAATGATACCATTCACTGGAACAACAAATCAACATCAATTTGGACCGCATTCTTTTACTTGCTCTGAAGCAAATCTAGCGACCTTTACACGCACGCTTTACACATTCTAAATTTAAACGAAGTGATTGAAAATTAGAAGAAATATAAAACTCTATTCCAGTTTAAATTATCTTAGTGGAATAAGTTTCTCGCTTATCAAATAATTATTTTTAAAAAATTTGTATAATATTTTTTTAAGTAAAAGTAATTTTCAATAAATTACCATCTCAATTTCTTACCGATTGTCATGTAAATTAAAATTTAAAAAAACGAATAAAACATGAGTAACAACATTCGCATTGCTGTGATTTGTTGAATCCAATCCAATATTATTTGGTAATTATGTCATGCATAGTTAATTACTATTATATAGATTAGACCTTGATGATACCATACAACAGCAACAATAATATAAAATTGAGAAATATACGTAATGTAATCGTAAATTTATAGGAAATTCTGAATCTCTGAACATTTTAGCTGTATCATGATGATGCAACATAGAGCAATTCAATTGAAAACATGTTAAAGAATTATTGAACTTTTGTTCTCGAGTCGATTAGTTTTCAATGCGTCTAGAAATAATATTTAAAAATTGTGGATAGCTCAGATTCCGTTCAATATCTTATCGAAACTAGAATGAAACGTATTCTCTCGTATCGCTGCAAAATGCGTTTTGTTATTGACGAAATGAGTCACAATTACAGAGCAAAACTGTAGATTAGCAGAAAATATTTGAGCAGAATTAAACGAGAGATACAAGTCACGATATACCGAAAACAATCGTATGAATGAGTAATCATGGAAAACAGTGAAAATATTTAACGAAACTTTACTTGTGAATGTATGAATGTATGATAAGCGAAGGCAATTATTTGCTTCCATTCAATACAAACAACAATAACGATTTGCAATTCAAAAGATCAGTAAAAATTAGTAATATTGTATCGTTTCCATTATAAATAAAAGAGTATCGATCAGCACGAAACATTAAAAGTCAACAAATCTGAGAGTAAAACTGTTTCGAGACCAATTCAAAGCTAAAGATTCGTTTGCGTTACTATAGAAACTAAAATGTTTTATACGATTATCTAATGGATAAATAACGTTGGCCTTGAATCAATCATCTTCTGTTTGTGTTGGAATATATATATGAATTTATTCGTACGTCTCAACAACGGGATTTTAAATTATTATTATTACGTAAACATTGCGATGATAATTACAAATTCTCTCTAATCAGCAAGTAAATAATAGCTTATCTGAAAGCAAAATAAAAACAACCAAACAAAATAATAGCGAAAGTGAAGAATACAGTGGCAATTAGGTAATGGGTATTTAATCTAAAGCGTATTTACTGTATTCGAGTTAATTCGAAAATGTATTTTCTACAATTTTAGAAATATTTTTCGAAAATTTGAATTATCAACGAAAGTATTTACATATAATCAATTGTTAGCAATTGTTAGCAGATTTCCATAAATTATACTAAACAAAACTAATTTGCAACTTTTTAAAATGAAAATGAACAAAATGAACAAATGCTGAAATGCAATTAATCAGAATGTGATGTTGAAATCAATGTGGAAATTCTCTCGTGAAAACTAATTGAAATAAATGTTTAATGAAAATAATGATCATCGTCCGTCGAAGCTTTACGTATTTGTGTTTTCGATGAAAACAATTATTGGATTGGATTTAATTACCGCACGCACACACTGCCGATTTTGAATTAGATTTTTGCGGTTTATTTGATAATTTGATGGGAGCGTAGCGTATGCGTGAGAACAAAAGAGAGAGAAAATGCAGATTGTGAATGTTCGTTCGTTTTTAAGTAAAACACTAAATTATTTATCGAATCGGGGGCCCGGTGGTACGGGTTGTTACGGTTACCTAATGGATGTTTTGCGTTTGATGATTTTCGAGGTTCCAATTTGTCGTAATGATTTTCGCAACGGTAGCGGTGGTGGTGGTGGCGGCTACAGCACACACACACATATAATATGTCAATGTGTTTTGCGGGAGGTGGGGGGGCGGTACGAATTAATTTTCCAAACGCGGGGGTTTCGCTGATTGGCCCTGATGATGCGATGCGATGCCAACTGCCGCCGATGATGAACGAGCGAACGGAATCTGCAACCCACTCTGCACGGTGTATAACATATTTACATCCGCTAATTGCCGTTATAAATTACACGGCATTAACGTGAAGCGGATGACGACGAGGGTAAAACGGGGGGAGGACGGACGGTGGTAATTCGACGCGCGAGGGACGTGATAAATTGCAAAAACCAATTTGCTAGATTGGGTTGCATAGGCGGAAAGCGGCCGACAACGGGCGACACCTATCGACTGCCCTGTTCCAAACTTTAACCCGCGCCGCTTTGATTTTACCTTTAAATAGTTTCTAAACATTTCGTTTGCTTTACAGGATTCCCAGGTTTGTGTTCCTGCTGTCCCATCAAACCCATGAGCGGTTTGGGATCTTCGCTGCTGCAGCAACACCACCATCATCACCATCACCAGACTCAGGACAGATCTTCGTCACCGGGTGGCGGTGATCAACGCTCCTCCAGCGTGGCCGAATTGAGACGCAAGGCCCAGGAACACTCGGCCGCCCTTCTGCAATCGCTGCAGCACGTCGCCAATTTCCAGCAGGCCGCGAGTCTCGCCGGAGGCCTCAACTTTCCACTGCTGCCTCCGCTCAATCTGCAGGCGCTCAGGAAGCAGGAGCAGGAGCCACCGGCATCGGCCAAGGACCAACCCTGAACCCGCCCCGCGTCTTCCCACAATTCCCAGTGCAATAATACTCATTACGAACCTGAAACGAGAAAACGAAATTATTTAAATCTAGTGACACTGTTGTTAGCCTTCAATTGTTATCAATTTGCGCCCCTTTTGTTTTCTTCGTACCATCTCACTCAACCCATCATCCAAAACCATTGCGTTTCCATTAGTCCCGCCTAACTTATAGTTTCCACATCCCCAATACTTAGTCATCTAAGAATGTGTATATTATTATAAATGTATAAATAAATAAATTAATTTGAAGAAGAGACAAAAAAAAAACAATTATATTAATGGATGAGAATACGATTATAAATATATTATAATTAAAGTTTAAGATTTAACGAATAAGAATAAATGAATAACAAACAAAAAAAAAATATTGAAAAAAAAAAACAAAAATTTACAAATAATGTAATGCGAGTAAGGAGATTAAAAAAAAAGAAGCAATTCCTCCATGTATAGAGTGCGTTAGCTGTTTGGAGTAAAATGTAGTTTTCTAATGATTTTGTGCCCTCTTTTTGTTTTGTTTACCATATTCTCTATGTTCTTTTGTTTTAAAATTTTATTTTCCAGTGCCAAATCGTTATATTGTGATGTAATATTCTTATGCATTTATTATCAACAGGATAGAGAAGTGACAGAAGAAAATATATACGAATATATTATATATATATTGATAATTAATGAATTAAGTTCGAAAGATATTGTAAAATATTGTATAAATTTAATAAATAGTGTTCACATTGATTTGATTTTCCTTCTTATTCTTTAATCCTCAAACCTCCTATGGTAAAATTGATTTTGAAAAATTAAAATTGATTAGATTATATATAGTTGCTAAAATAATTGCAATAGGTTAGATAATTCATTTTATCGC